AACAACCGATAATAATGAAAAATAACAATAAAAATTAATAATCACAGTAACGATAATGTGATGTAATACATAAGTTATTCTCTTTCATATCACCACCATTCATCATAAACAAATAACTTTCCAAAGTAAAATCAAAAAATTCAGGAACTGTTCAAAATTTAAAAAAAAACTAACGCCTTGCACAATTGTTAGCACTAAAGAGAAGTTTCGAGACCATCTCTGACACTTCCATTGTAGACGCCTTCTTGAATGCATAATAACTGAAAAAAATTTTTTGAAATTATTTCCTTTGAAAAACACTTAAGAAATCAGCGCTGAAACCAACTTTTTCTTTAACAAAACCTCTCACGGTTTAAATTCTCACATAATACCCCTACAATGATAATGCTAAAGTGAATAAGTCACATAAAGTGACTAAAACTCTGCCTGCATATATTCCGAAGTGTCGAACGAGTCAGCCTCTCCAACCGATCCTTCCGTATCTCTTTTTCCGGATCGAGCATCATTTGGGCGCATTTCTTGGCTTGCTCTTTTGCTCGAATCTAAAAAATTTCAAATGTCACATGAAACTGCTAAGAACATTCAACACTTCTCTTACTAGTATTCAATTTAAGATAAAGTATAACTAGTTCTCAATATACTGATTGATGTATACAAAATTTATACTGATATCATAAAATCCACAATGAACATTCTAAACATCTACCCTCCTCCTCCATTCAACCTCATTTATCAAGTAAAAATGACAAACCCTTTCCAGTAGACTCATTTTTTTCGGCTTCTGTTCAGTGGAAACATTCTGCGAGGACGATGACGGTATTTCAAGCTTTGCTCCAGCCACTAAAGCTGCACGCTTCTCGGGACTACGCAATTCATCAATCATTTCCTTAACTTTGAGTGTAAAGCATATGAAAATTTTACGATATCAATCATATTCCCAACAAAAAATAATGTTGTGATATTAACAACAATTGCAAAACTAACAAAACTGGTAAAGATAATGATAGTAACAATAACAATGCCAATAGCAGCAATATTCAACTATAAAAAACCTGTATTCTCTTCGGTAAACTACCGCTACTATCTTCTACAGTTCGCATATAATCACGCATTGTTTTCAGTTCAGCTTCGTCACCTTTCGGTGGCTCAGGCAATTCCGCCTCAGGTATATCGTCCACTTCATCTAGCTTAAAATCCGGATGGTATCTTCGTAAACTATTCATTTCTTCATCTTTCAACTTCACTGAAATCACAACAACAACAACAGTTTCCAGAATGTTCCAATTCAATGAACACACATTTTCCACAATTCAGATTTAAGCTTCTCACCTCCAATTTTATCCAGAAATGACTTATGTTGCGTTCTGACCAGCTGCTGTAGGTGATATTTGAAGATGTAACTGCGAACAGTTGTTCGCCAAACCTCCATTTTTGGCTTTTTATCCACAGCATCAGACGTGGTGCTGCTGAATAAAAGAAAATCTTTTAACTTCAATTACAATTCGATTCAAAACGTTCAAGTTTATCATCACAGATTCTTAAAGAAATTAGTATTTCGTTAGCTTCCTTGATGCATTCACCCTCCTCACCGTCTCGCATCTTTTAAAACTTCCATTGAAATCCGTCTTCCTTGATAAAAAAACCTAAACTATATGAAAAACCTCGGTTGCACAATTTTTGTTGGTGTTTTCTTGAGTGGTGATAATCCCCAACGTATGCCACGCGGCGATTTAAACGGTGATAATGGAAAGCGAGGCTGCTCTGGCTGCGCAATACTTGCTTCAGCAGCCTTCAGTTGCTCATCTTCTCTCATGAATCCAATTATATCTGTAAATTAAGTGGATAAAATACGGATATTGACTGCGATTTTAATTCAATTAATTAATTAAACGGGAATAATGAAACTACGCCAAATGAACAAGCAAAACAGCAATCTATTCGTCTCTACGTACCATCTTTAAAATTCGGCTCGATCACATAATCATAGCGTGTGTCATGTCCACGAGTACCGCCAATCGGCGCCCAATGCTCTTCGAGACGAACATGGAACGCTTTCGGATAAACGCTCATGATTTGTGCGAAATGATGTCGCGTGAAGTCACTAAAAATTCCTGACCAATCAGTTCTGATCTATCACAGATCAAGCAAAAACACATTACGCAAACATCCATCATATGTCACAAGTTGTGGCAAAAAATTTTTTTATATTTCAAAATAAAAACAAATAATTTGAGTTCTAAACGAATGAAACAGACAAACATACAACGAAAAATTTTAATGTTAACAAATGAATAAAACAGAATATACCATTTGATGTTCTTTTGAACATTCCGTGAAACTTCATCAAACGTTATTCGTCTATCCTGCCGATACAAAATCGAAACCACCTGCAATAATAATTCCAATCAAAATCAACGAAACCGTCATCATCATTGTTATTTCCAAATGACAGCAACAGTACATATCACCCCACATTCTAGGCAAAATCTCTCGACCAAAATAAAAATTTCAAACACTTACTCTTTCCATATGACCGAACAGTTTATACAGACGTTCATATTTGACTGGTAGCGGCAATGCGGCACAGTTCTTCACCTCTGATACCAGCAAGGCGGCACGACCATGCTTCAGTGGACTTCTGAATTTAAACATCAACAATGTGTTGTTCTCGCAAAATGTTCTCTGCTAGAAGACCAGAAGACCGAAACGAAAACAATTTTGCTTAATTTTCACCACCTCTTTAGTATCACACAACACAATTAGTTTCACAATGATTACGTGAAACTTATAAATTGAAATGATCGAAGGTAAAAATAAAACGCCATATCAACATACCTCAATGCCTCTTCAGAATCGTCATCGTTATCGTAAACATCTTTCACTGGTGTACGCAACAATTTATTGGGTGTTCCGAATTTCGATGGTGTTTTCGGCTTTTGAAGTGGTAAGACGAAATCTGGCACCACAACTGTCTTTGACGATGACGTTCCAATAGCAGATGTTGACGGTTTTTGACTCGGTGCAATTTTTATTGGCGATTTATAGACAACTTTGGAAGCGCTCAACTAAAATTTTGGAAAATACCTTCCTTCCCAATTATTCTGACAAGAAAGTTTCCCTCGCATAACTTGAAGAAATCATCAATTCAAGAAGTTTCTCAAAGAACAGTCCTTACTCTTTCAGCTGACAGTTTCTGCTTCACGCTCTGCAAGGCATCCTTCGAAGCAACCAATTTTTTCAGACGATCGCGTACCTCCTCACCTGTCTTTCCTTGAAGACCTCCCTTGAGCGCCTCACGAAATTTGGCTAAAAATTGCATCCTGTTCAATCTTACTTCGCGAAAACGAAACCGAAATCATGCTGATTGTAAGCGAAGCTATCACACGCTATCTATCTTAAACAAAATGAAATCCCAAGCAGAAAGGAATGAAGACGAAGAGAGAAGCAACATACAATTATTCTTGACGATACCAGCCAGCTCCTTAGCTTTTACCGCTACATCATCACCTTGGAACAATTTCGCTGATGATAATTGTTGTTGACTGTTAGTTGCTTCGCCTTCCTTGCCATCCTCAATGTTACCTACCTCTTCAGGACTATCAAAAACCAGCAATCGGCTAGCCCTATTCCGAGGTGTTGCTGTCGCATGGACTGTTGACGACGGTTCAACAATTTTTCTAACACGGGGTGATATCGTTGGTAAACATTTTGCGGTGACGACTGACTGAGGCGTTGCAGACGAATCCTGTTCTGTGGATTTCTAAAACCGAAATTTATCGCTGTTAAATCTTCGACTAGATCTGATGAAGATTTTCAATTTTGCTAACAGAAAAACAAGGCACTGATAAGACTGTGCAAAGATTTTGTTTTCCATCGGAGATATTCAAAATATTCATTCAATTTCACGTTTTCCGAATGGCAGTTTCTTTGCATCCTGTAAATTCTTACTGGAATAAAGTACAAAACGGCAACTATTAGATACTCCGAAAACCGACAAATTATGCAAAAAAAATTGGAGTGATAGTAGAATTACAATTGTAGAAGTGATCTAACCTCGGCGCAAATGCTTTTTTCAAGATCATCCTCTGTTTTATGGTCCGACAGAATCGTCGTTACTTCATCAAATTTCTCACTCTTTATCGCTTGTTCGGGAACAACTGATGATGAAAAAACAGACTCCTAAAACTCAAAGCATTGATAAGTTTACTGGGAAACTGCCTATAACCACATTATAGCAGTTAATCTAGCGCATTCTGCAGCTATGAAAACAACATTCAGTTGCAATGGAACGAAAATAAAGATTGAAAAAACCTCACAAATGGACGAAAAAAAATTTAGTAGTGTTGCATAAAAAAGAACCACCTGTTCGGTTGTTGGTGCTTCGAGTTTCAGTCTCTTTACGCT